ATCGGACACATTTCAATTTATAACAGAATGGATCTCCAAGGCTAGAGAGCAGTTTAAAATAATGGATTCAAGTTACATCAGACAAATTTCAACACTGTTTCCATTATTAAAACAATTTACAATCTTTATTCTTCCAATCTTTAAAATTTCAAAAAAATTGAAGCATTACAAACAAGCTCTACGTGTACTGCCTCCAAAGTCTATGCATTTCGTGCTTGTCTGTCATTTTCTCTAGACCACATAAATGCTTTTAAAGCGGATATGGCCACTTTAATGGCTTGCAGCTGTGGGCTAACCACTAAATCCACCCACAAATTCACAAAGGAAATCTGTCTAAAACTTGGCTCTCTAAATAATGAAAGCTTGGAAAATGGAATAGACATAAAAGGACTAGAACCATCAATATCCATATTAGTAGCACAACACCTAAATGCAAGAGATGTTAGATAGGAGTTGTTACGGCACCCCCAGGCATAAAAGTGTCAAACCGCCGTCTAGTACATCTTCCCTTCAAGAGACACAGGCACAGCTACTGCAGAACACTAAACTCTCGAACTGAATACAAGGGAATGCTCCAAACTCCTGAACTGAATACAAGGGAATGCTCCAAACTCCTGAACTGCATACAAGGGAATGCTCCAAACTCCCGAACTGCATACAAAGTAGCACTCCAAACTTCCAGACTGGAACCTCACGAATAGCTGCTAGCAGACGAACAGGAAAAGCACCCAAGCGACTTACACTCCTGGCAATCAGTCTCTAACAGCATGCAGTAAATCCCCCCAAAGATGATACAGAGCTCTGTGTTGCGGGTCAAGCAGTGGTCTGTTTAATGAGGGCTACCTGCCCAGTATTTATGCAGGTCTCCCAGCTGGTGGACCCTCCCCTAGGGGACCAAATGGGAGACTGTGACAAAGGACAGACACAAACCAATGACAGACGCACAGAGGTAAAACATCCCCACAATGCATCCTAATTTCCCTCCCTCTGTCCTGGAGATAATTGGGAAGTAATCCAATTATCTCCCAGGACAGAGGCAAAACTCCATCAACTACATGTCAGTAAAAGACAGTAAAAGACATAAAAATGTATAAAGTTACAACTGTTGCACAAAACATATACATTCTACCTATCCCCAGATAGCTTAGATCTGAGCACACATTATTACCGGATAGCGCTCAGATCACATACATACAGTTCAATCACCATGGAGCCAAAGTCTTTCCCATAGTCTTTTGTTATACAAATAGGCTCCATGGCATGGCTATCTGGGGTAATGCTGTTCATACGGTTAAACTACCTATTGAACAGGCATCCGGTTAAATGACCGAATGCAGACGCAAGGAGGCTGACGGCTCAGCGGTGTTTGCGCAAATAAGTGTCCGTTTCCAGTTCCATAGTTTGGCGCTAAACACCGCTGGTCGTTCGGGACTTTAAAATGGCAGCCGCCACATGTTCAGCAAACGAACAAAGGCCACCCAGCATTTGTCAATTAAGCTGCGGTTAACCACAGCTTCTGGGAAGTAAATTGCCGACACACTCCCAATACAGGTGGTCCAGTCATTCGGTTGTTTGTTCGGTAGAAACACACGAACAAGCCTTTTCTGCAGGGGAAAAGAAGGCTTTTTAGCATGGGGCCATAGTCCAAGGGCAACAGATGAGCAACCAGGCTTCTCCAATTCTTCGTGGCGAGGTTGGTTTCGCCACAGCAGTTTATCCACACAATTGATCATATATATATATATATATATATATGTATATATATATATATATATATATATATATATATATTTCTTTATTGTGTCATTTGCTGTCAACTTTAGAGTATATTGTATGAAAACCACAGTAGATCAACTTTTTCTGCAATGCTGAAATCAGAGCTTCAAGTATCAGAAGTCATTCTAAACCTTTATATTTCGGATTCTTAATATCTGAGTTGCGAATTTAAATTGGATCCCAATGCTTTTGCTAGAATTAATACAAGATAGACCAGTTACATATTATTATTCAGACTCCGGAGAACTGCCCCTATTAAGTTGTTTACTGTAGCATCACTGATATTGCTAGTTTAATGCAGGCCTGTTTGAGATTAGGAAAAATGTATTGATGGTCTTTTACATAATTAATTTCAGAACAAATTAAATTTTAATTGCAGAATAGGTTACTGAACTAATTTTACAGCTGAACAATTGGTTTCCCAACTAAAGCATATACATAATCTCTTGTCAAAAAGGTTAAGTATCACTGTGTTAGATCATATTCCACATACTAAGCATTCTTAGAAAAAAAACTACCAACTTTTTGTTTAAATGATTAACTTTGCTATATTCTGAACAACCATTGCTTTTCTACAACATGTTTATATCAATAGGAAGCTAACATTATTGAGATAAGATTAAAATATAAAATAAATGAAAGTTCAAAACATATTAAATACATTTATTCTTTTTTTCGCATTTACCATCTTGACTTGTTTTTCCATAGAAATACCTGCACAATGATTTGGGTCTTTAACCCCTTAAGGACACATAACATGTGTGACATGTCATGATTCCCTTTTATTCCAGAAGTTTGGTCCTTAAGGGGTTAAGAAGAAACTATGAAGAAATCCACAGGTCTAAAAGTAGGATGAGTTGAGTATGTTGTACATTTTCATTATTTAATTTATCTCTTGTATAGAAATGGAATTATTATTTTGCATTCCATCTGTCTTACTGAAAATCGGATAATTTTTCTGACTCTAAGCCTAAAAGAAAACCGTCTGCTTTTGGCAGTTCTTAGTTTTAGCAATGCAGCTATTGGCAAAAAAAAAAGCTTTTTTTTGTATTCAGTATGGGAACATGTACAATAATTTTATTATACATTACAAAGTTATGTAAAAATGTCATATTCCCGGAGAAGTAAAAGCCAGTAAAGTTGAAAGAAATGATAACAAAACACAATTTTATTTTTTCAATATTTATTTATTTCATGTTCTTGCTGTACTGACAGGTTTGAAACCTCCTGAAAAAGAAACAAGAATAAACAGGAAAGCAACAATTTTTAAGCTCACAATATTGTGCCATACATAAGATCACCTTTAGGGCTTAACTCGCTGAAGGTGACAATATATGCAATACATGTAATTTAAAACATTATTAGCTACTATATGTAGAATATTTCTCAAAGAGCTTTGTGCATTTAAAAAAAAACAAAACCCTGAAACTTATTTGCTAATTTTTCTTCATTTGTGAATGTCAAGAATACTATATATATTAGAGGACAAATCACTGCTTACATTAGACAGTTGTATTGCTATATCAGTTAGCACTGTTAAAATAAGGGTGTTTATAAACATTTAAGTTGAACACATACATGGCTGCTGAAACTTGATTTAGTTGAGTTCATATTTTTGTTTTTACCTTATCTCTTTTATATTAAAGGAGTACTTATGCACCCACATCTTTGGTGTAATATGTAGGTTTGATTTTAGTTGGTTATGCTAGTCGACCTTTTATAGTAATCATATTTTTTTTTTATAAATCAATCATATTTGCCCAATAACTAAAATTATCATTTTGCTATATAAGCTCACCCTTTCTGTTTTTCCCTCCCAAGGTCATGGGAGGACTGGCAAGAGAAGCAGGGTACAATTGCCCCTCAGGCTACAAGCATGAGAAGGCTGTGTGGGTTGTGGATGGCATCCTCAAACTATTCTTCTGAAAATCATCAGTAAAACAATCATGAGGTGTGCTGGGATGTTTGTTTGCACAGCTCTGCAGAAGTAAGGCAGCAGGCAGGAATTGTGCAGGATCTTTGCTGGCTCGGAACTGTGTGGGTTTGTGCCTGGGTTGGCATGCTCTGCCTTCAATGTTCTCCAAGTCTCCTGCAGAACACTGGGAAATATCCTGGTGTACTGCAGTATCTGAGATTGACTAGTCCGCAAGGTGACCTTCTCCTGACTTGCTTGTTCCCGCATTGCCAGCTCTCATCTGCAAGATTTTTCAAGGACTTCCTCATTCCTTTGGAAATCCCTAACTCTTGTCAGAAGACTCTCCCCTAGGCTTAAATCATTGAAGAAGTCACTGAAAACACACCTGAATAGGAAAGCTTGCTATCTTCCTTGGCGATGCTTCTCTCATTATATAGCCCAGCTCACTCTCTCCTTCCACTATTTGCCTGTTTCACACACCTACCTTTACTAACTTTTTTGGACACAGGCATCTTATCCATCAGTGTGTCCTCCCCTCTGACATGCTGTTATTTTCCTTGTGTATTGTGTCTTATTCTTCATAGATTGTAAGCTTGTTTTTGCAGGACTTTCTTTGCCTCTTGTCGTGGAATATCCCCATTCTGTAGTTGCTAAACACCTTGGAATATGTTGATGCTATATAAATAATAATAATAATAATAATGAGTATGTCTGATATCCCTGGAAGAGTTTGCCAGTGACTGCAGGGTGATATGAGGTAGTGATCATGACAATCATAGCACATTCTAGTTGTCCCTGGTGGCAATGAAGTGGGTGGGAGACTGCGGCTCTTAGGCATATACAGGATTCTGTGAATGTTGTTTAATACTATGCAGGTTATACTGATCGTAGTTGCAAGGATGTGTTATTGCAAAACTTTGCAACTCCAGCAGCCTCTATATGGGATTCTGAGGGTTCTTTGCGGTATCTTAGTTGTTCCTAAGCCTCTACTACAACTACCTTCACTACTAAATATATATGAATGTGTGTATATATATATATACAAAAATCATATCAGGATAGCTCTCTCACGACTTGTACAAAAAAACTGATTGACGTTTCAGTTTGATCATCTCAATCTTACATCAGGATAGGCATATCCATTTATTTTTACTTTCCCCTAGCTCAAAAATTGCCAGCCCAGGGACCCCATCTCTTCACTCATTATGCAATTTTGAATAAATTCATATTTAATGCTACAGCATAGAGTTTATGTAACAAAAAGTGCTTCTTAAAGTCGTATTAACATTTTCTTATGTTGTTTTTTTCAGGCTGTGTGGAGGAAACTTGGAGATGCTGCAGGTTCATGTCCTGGAATTAGACATCTCTCTGCAAATCAATATAAAGGACCAATGTGACTGAAGATGGATATCGCCTGAGCCCTTCTTAAGATAAAGAACAAATTTAAAATGACAGTGGGAGAGTCACATAGAAGAATTAATCACAAATATTAAGCCCCAGGCAGAGTGGGTTATCTGACGTAATAGATTGATTAATTTAAAATTGGCACAACTCGCTTAATATTATCGTTCAAGCTGCAGTTATGTCCTTTGGACAATAAGCACATCTAGTTTTACAGCACATTTAAAATATAAAATACCTTTTGGTTATGGTAAAGTTATTTAAAGTCAAAAGGTAAACATGCGTTTAATATTACAATCATTTTCAATATACTCTTACAAAATATGTGGATATATTCTAAAAAGCCTAAGTAAATATGATAAAACGTTATTGTAAATCTACAGCAATTTAAAGGTATTATATCGCTAAGTGACACGTAGTCTTCTTGGCCTTAAACTAAAGAGATGATGAAAATGAAAATTTATTTTTAACAATGCTATCAATATTTGTAAAGGTAGGAGGTAGGGTAGGCTTTATTGCGTAATCTTAAACAATATAAATTATCTGCACATTATATCATTTAAAAAAAGCTTTCAAACTGTGTTATTAAAAGCTTATTTCTGCCGATTCATATACACATTCTACAAAAGGTGCTGCACAATCATGGTCCAAGTATATTCTAAAGGTCAAATTATTGCCAGCTAACGTATTACCTATTTAGTTATATTTTGAGGTGCTAAATAAAGTAGTAATATTAATAATAAAAATAATAATATATAAATACTGTGGTTTATTCACTAAACAAAGAAATGGGGGGGGGGTTGACAATGACATTTTGAAATAGGCACAATAGCGAAATTGGACGAAATCTACAACTGTTTTTCAAGCTCCAAGGTGTTTCGCAAAAAAATAAATGCAAATTTCCTTGTCAATTCTTTACCATTCCCAGTTTAGTTTATGAGTCCCATGGTTTCGTTTCAGGGACTGTAGCAAACAAAAGATAAAATAGTATTTATTTCTAAAACATATAAACAGCAAAAAAAAACAACACTTTTTTATATGATTTAGATTATTTCAGAAAAATATATTGGGACCACTCTTGGCTTGCAAATAGTACATTTAATTTTCAAGTCAAAAATTAATTTAAAAAAAAAAAAATGACATGAGACACATTATGTTTTTGAATGCTTTTTTCTGTTTTATATGTTTTCTGGTTATTTAAAAACTATACCGAATTGCACTGCATTTATTAAAATAAAGCTTTTCCTGCATACCATTTCTCAAAAGCAAATCAAAGCATGTCCTTCCATTATTAAACCGCTAGATACTCTTTATCAGATTGCCTGAATATCGACCAAGAGGTGCCATAGATGTGTGTAGCTGGATATTTTTTCCATACGTAAAAACTATTAGGTTGTGTGTAGTTAAATGCTTTGATAGACGTTTGATGTGTATAAAATGCTACGATAGTTCCTTGTATGAATGTGCAACAGGCTTGTGACAATATATAGTTGCTTATTTTTTCACTGTAAGTATTACATAATAGGAATGCAACAATCTTCTATTTTTGATATGTTAGTGGTCTGATCCAAAGCAAATATATGTCACTTTACTTCTTTACCTTATTTATCTAAAAACTATTTAGCGTGACTTCTGTTTATTTTATCACCTGAATTCAGTAGTGGCATATGGAAATACCTTAATACATAATTTCTATTTAAAGTTAACACTCCGGGCACCATAGCAACGTCATCAAAATTGGGCTATTGTGGTGTCAGGAGGTCCCTGGTGCAGATTCACAAAAAAATGGTTTGAAAAGAATATGTAGTTTTCTAATGCCTTTTTGTGAATGAGGAGCCAGTGATTGATTGAGAGCATCACCTTATCGCTCTTAGCCAATCAGTGGCGATCCTGCCCACAGCAGCCATTATTTTCCATATTTAAGATTTTCAGCAAACTGAAGAACATGGGGGAAGAGAGATCTGGCACTGGAGGGCAAACATTTTGTGAATGGTTTACCACCTAAAGGTGATCCAGTGCCAGTGACCTCTTGGCACCATATCAACTTTATTTTAATTAAGTTGTTATGGTGTAAGAACTGTTCCTTCAACTTCAGAATCCCAACACTGTGTTGAGTTATTACTAGATTATCCTTTGCTTTGATAATGTAGTAATATCTTGTGTTTATCAAACCATAGCCAATAAAAGAGTATTGCTGTAAAATGCTAAATTTTCCAATCAGCTTTCCAAATCTTTTGAGATCTATTTCATCTTAGCTTTGTCCTAATTTTAGAAATAAAAAAAATGGTCAACATATGACAATTAATATCTTTAGCAAACTGATGTCTAGACAAATTAACCCTATATCTATTTACTTTGCTTCTTAAAGAAACACTCCAAGCACTATAACCACTACAACCCCCGTTGTAAGTAGGCAAACTGTATTAGAATTGTTTGTCTTCTTATATTATTATTATTATTATTACTGGTATTTATAAAGCGCCAACAGATTCCTGCAGCGCAAATGAGGTCTGCTGGGCTCCGCTACCTGTCTTCACCACTTCCTCTACTAAGCTGTTGCTGCAATTAGCTGAGAATGTCAGTTCGTTAGGTGAGAGCACTTAGCTCAGACAGCGAGAGTTCCGGCTCTCCATTGGCAGTAGTAGGGGTGGAAAGTGGCATTCAGAAGAACCCAAGTAAGAAGTAAAATCTTTCTAAAATGGTACGGCTACTTAAAAATTTTTTGAAAACGTATATGGCATTTATTTTATTTACTTTTTCTTATTTTTAATATTGGGAGGATCCATTCAATCTTTTTCCTTTTCTTCCCCCAACCCTGGAAAATTCTGTGTTTTTTAAGAATCTTAATTTTGGTGACCCAATCCCCATTGTTCTACATTGCTGCATTTTGCTTGAATAGTTAAGGAACAGAACTCATCTTTATAGGATCCTGGCTTCATTACATTTGGAGTCTAAAAAAGACAAAATTAATTCACCTACATTTTGCATATTTAAACTTATAATTTTATTTTTGCATTTTCTAGAGATATACAATTATTATACTTTCCTGCAATAAATGTTTTTTAACCCACAACCATGGATGAGGTTAAATTAACAGCTTGCATTTGAGTATTTTAGGGATGCTATTGGCCAGTGTCACAACTTACCAACACAAAGGGGGAGATAAGGTGTCTTCAGTTTTCAGCTGTAACAAAAAAAATAAAGTTTAAAATAACACTATAAATGTTCTATTTAAATAGACATTAACATAATAAGTAAAACATGCCATTTCTTTATTTAAAAAAACTTTTTTTTTAATTGCAACCTTCAGAATTGTTTATACAGTTATCTTGATACATATATTAAGATTATAAAGATAAATTAAAACATAATATATACAATAAAGATTTTAAGATGATTAAAATATAGAAAAGAAAATAGTTGGCATCAAAGATTTTTGAAGATAATTTCTCTATAACAATATTAGTGGAAAATTAGGGTTTCATAGAAATGATGAGAACAACAACAGGGTCATTTTATTTAATAAAGATTATAACCAACCATTGTCATCCATGTCAAAATAGCTTGTAAATTAGCTATAAAATTAGCCAAGCTGCCAGATGTAACCAACTGAGCCATTTTGTCATATCTTTCACAAACTGGTTCACAGCAAACGGTTCAGAGAAAAATACCAACTAGTATTAGTATTATTTAGTTTACTACATTTTGGAAATTGTCTATCTTTGCCATGAGCTCGTTTGCCCTGTGTTTTAGAAATTCTTTATAGGGAGATCCATATAAGGATATGGATTTAGAAATGTGATAGGAGCTTATGGGGAAGACACAGACGGGGAATTTAACATTCTATCAATAAAGGTATTAGTGGAGAGATGGGGAAATGGAAAAAAGGGTGGTTTGGGTGTTAGAAAGGCATACATATGAAAAGACCTAGTGTCTGTTAAGACATAAATGAGGGCATTATGAAAGAAGCACAAGTGGATGGGAAATGGGGTAAAATGCAGGACATAACAGATAAGTGTGAGGGAGACACATGTCAAAGAAGGGAGGATACACAAGCGAGATGTTAATACATGTGGTAGGAGACATGGAAAAAAGCACAAGTACAAAGGAAAAGTATATCGGTAATGAGGATATAAATATCAGACAGAAATGGGTGAAAGAGTGAGGTTAAAATGGAGAGTGAGATACAAATGGAGAAAAGATGGTGAGGGGATTATACTTGTAATCAAAATGGCAACATAGACACAAAACATTAAGAAGGACAAAAATGCTCTCAAATTGGCATGACATCTATAAAACACTCTTCATGGAAAACTTATCTTTTGACACATTCTTCCTTTCCTTATTTCCCTTTCTTCCTTCCCTTTCCTCTCTCTTGTCTTTCCTTCCATCTCTCTTTACTTCCTTTTTCTCTCTCACTTTCTCAACTGTTACATCGCGTCCTTATCCAGAGCACTTTACATAGATCAACAAATGACAAAATAATTGGTAAAGCCCTTTTTGATACAGTCATTGAATTGTAATGTAATCGGGTATAGTTCCTACAGGACACACCATTATGAAGTGAAAAAACATTCAAGTAAATAATTTAGCACAAGAGAACAACAAAGTTACATAGAACAAAGTGTAGAACAAAGTTACATTTAACTAAGGTATAGTAATCATAATATTGTATTTTTCCTTGACAACACTGTAGTTAATTCCACCCAATGTTTCAACCCTAAATACCTCATTCTAAAGGACTACCCTATCTCTATATCCCAAACCCAACATGAGTTTACCTTAGAAGTGAACAGTTTTCAGTGGCAATTTATTGACACTGCACTCGTATGCCCATTTTTATTATAACATTGACCTATATAACGTAAATATGTAAAACATTTAATTTCCCGCACCAATACTTTAAATGTAAACGGAAGGGTTATACACTTATTATCACTGAGAAGTCAGTGCGATTCACTTTCAGCGATCTAGACATTCATATTGCAATAGTCATTCAACTGTGCAGTCAATGCAGCATGTTGAACTGCAAGATTACCACCAATAAGCTGCTTGGGTGGTGATAAGATCAGTTGGCCAAAACTTAATTTCTGAATTTTATCTGCAGTTAGTTTAAGTCTGTAAATTGTTTTCCAATACTTGACTATACAACTGACTTGAACCGACTTCGAAACAAAGCATTCTAACCAACTTTATGTCAGTTGAAAAATCTGACTTTGGTAGTTCCCTTTTTATTTGAGTTCCTTAAAGGACCACTCTAGGCACCCAGACCACTTCAGCTTAATGAAGTGGTCTGGGTGCCTGGTCCAGCTAGGGTTAACCCATTTTTTTATAAACATAGCAGTTTCAGAGAAACTATGTTTATCAATGGGCTAAGCCTTCCCCCATTCCCTCTAGCGGCTGTCTCATTGACAGCCACTAGAGGCGCTTGCGTGCTTCTCACTGCGATTTTCACAGTGAGAGCACGCAAGCGTCCATAGGAAAGCATTGATAATGCTTTCCTATGCGACCGGCTGAATGCGCGCGCAGCTCTTGCCGCACGTGCGCATTCAGCCGACGGGGAGGAGAGGAGGAGGAGAGCTCCCCGCCCAGCGCAGGAAAAAGGTAAGTTTTACCCCTTTTCCCCTTTCCAGAGCAGGGCGGGAGGGGGTCCCTGAGGGCGGGGGCACCCTCAGGGCACTATAGTGCCAGGAAAACGAGTATGTTTTCCTGGCACTATAGTGGTCCTTTAATTATTATTGTGAGCAAATTTACTTAGAAAAACAGCAAATAGTTTCCTAATTTTCTGTCTGCACAAACTCTCATCATAATAAAGGTAAACTAAAATGAATAGGTAGATCAGTCATGCGCTAATTTCAATTACGGCATACTGTATAATCACTGTTATGAGTACGACACATATAAAAAGCTTACTGCAAGCCGATGCTGTGCTAACCTTGCCGTTACTGCAGTATATATTTCAAATTATAATTAAGTTTTCAGTTTGGTTTATTACCTTTGCTTTAATCATATTTTAGGGGACTTGGTTTTAGATGGATCTTAATAACAAATGATAACAAAAATGTTTCATTCATATAACTGCTTAAAACTCTTAGAGCTATGTTTTTCTTTAAAACAAAACCTCTGATTGCTTCTTTCTGAAGATAGTCTTAAAAGCACTGACTACACTTTAGCTAGGATGAACATACCTTGTACCTACAGTATGTTTGCTGCAAATACATTACATAAGTAAAGATACAGAGCACACATTTCGAGTTTTGTTGTATTTTGTTTACTTTTGTAGTGAATCTATCATAGAAATACATCATAGCAGTCCTTGCAGCTGGCAGATCCACATCCCTTGACGTCCCATTGTACAGCGCTAAGGAATCTGATGGCGCTAAATAAATAATAAAATAATAATAAAAAATAATAATGACATCATCAAGTCTGCCGACTCTTTAGCTTCTTGTTCAATCAAACGATTCTTATAGAGAAACATTACTGATGAGCAGAGCATGCATGGTGAGCGCCACCCTCACTTATCAAATGCTTCTCATAGGGATGCACTGAGTGAAATACGTTCCTATGAGAAGCACTTGATTAAGTTTGACGTCCACATGGTCATTGCAGTGGAAATGCTTCTAGTGGTTGTCAGAAAGACTATAATGAACTCTACAATGAGAGCATTGCCATCTCTACAAAAAAACAAAACATTGCAAACAGGGCCACTGCACCTAGACCCCTTAATTAAGATGAAGTTACAGTGGCCCTTTTTTCACTGTAAATTCACTTAGAATTCTCACTTTAATGAAAAAGTCTGTAAGCATTTACCTTGAAGGACTATTAGTCTAATACTGGGGTAGGCAACTTTATATATATATATATATATATATATATATATATATATATATATATATATATATATATTCTTGAAGAGTAACAAAGCAACAAAAAAAGATTTGAATAGGCTATACATCGGTACATCTGCAGCTTTGATGTCCACCACATTAAGAAACATGTAAAACACATAACATAGGCAGCATATGATCCATACATCTCAATGTACTTTACCAAATAAGTGCATGGCTTGTTTATCTTGCGATTGCAAATAAACTGTCATTTGAAGTACTGTATTTTTGAAATTGTTGCATTCCTATCATTTATATATAGATATTAAAAAGAAAATTACAGGCCTGAAGCACTAATCTGGAGTGCCTAATATACCAGACAGTGGTGTTTTAAATTAGAGACAATTATGTACATTTTGATACTGTATTGAGATTATTTTTTTACAGTTCTGCATATGATATAGCATCAAGTGTATGTATTCATTAGAGCAACAATAATAAACTATTTAATCTCAAAATTGTTATTGTTTATCTTTTCTACATCACAAAAATGTATTTTGTTTATTTCAGCTTGCCAAATGTGAAATTACTTTAAATCTCAGATTTTTGTTACAACGTTATGGTTATTGTTGCAAAAAGCTAAAAAGAGTAGAGGAGAATTAATTTCATTTACACAATTGGTTATTTTATTATATTTGTTTATTTATAGTTCAGTCAAAGAAGATGTGGCAACTTGAAACAAAATATCAAGTATATTTATATCATCACAGAGCAGCGTTTCCCAATTGGTGTTCCACGGAATCCTAGGGTTCCGCAAGAATAAAATTGGAGTTCCACTGTGATTTGCCCATCTGGTTGCAGAGAGACCTGGTCAGCGCTGCGGCCGATTAATTGCGTAACTGGGTTCCTGTAGTATAGGATGCTGGGAGGAAGTTATGGACTGCAGTTTCCTCCCAGCTTCATATATAAAACGCTGAGCTGGAGGGAGAGAGGCAGAAGCCAGCAGTGAACAGCTCCCCTCACACATACCAGCCTCAGCCAGCAAGTCACCCTTCTGCAGACAACAGGTATGCTAACAGAAGGGTGACTGCAAATATATATAAAATGACATGTGTGTGTATTTCACAGTGTGTGTGTGTATTTGTGTGAAATCTGTGTGTCACTGTGTGTATGTGTCACTGTGTGTATCTGAGTGTGTATATTAATGTGTCACTGTGTGTATCTGTGTGTCAGTGTTTGTGTCACTGTGTGTGTGTGTTTGTAGCAGTGTGTGTATGTGTCTGTGTGTTTGCCAGTTGCCATGTGTCACTGTGTGTATCTGAGTGTATGTGCCAGTGTGTGTATCTGAGTGTCAGTGTGTGTATCTTTCCGTGTGTTGGTGTGCGTGTATCTGAGTTTGTGTATGTGCTAGTGTGTACCTGTGTGTCAGTGTGTGTGTGCCTGTATGTGCCTGTGTGTGTGCCAGTGTGTATCTTTGTGTCAGTGTGTATACGTCAGTGTGTATATCTGAGTGTGCCTTATCTGTGTTTCAGTGTGCATCTGAGTGTCACTGTGTGTATCTTACAGTGTGTGTGTGTGTGTATCTGTGTGCGTATATCTGTGTGTTAAGGTGTGCGTGTGTCACTGTGTGTATCTGAGTGTGTGTATATGTCTGTGTATATGTGTGTATCTGCAACAGTGTGTGTATCTGTTTGTCAAGAGGTGTTCTTGTGTCAGTGTGTTTATGAATGTGTGTATATGTGAAGTGTGTGTGTGTGTGTATCTCTGTGTTAATGTGTATGTATATCTGTGTAAGTATGTATGTGGCAGTGTATGTGTATACATCTCAGCTATCAAACACCAACACAACATACAAACACACCTCTGCAAACACAAACATTACATACAAAAACACCCCTGAATTCAAACTCCAATACTACACACATGAATTTAAAAGCAAACTCTACATCCAATCATCCGCCTACACGCAAATGAAAACATTACATACAAACACCAACTATGCACGCAAAAGCACACCTGCTCCTAAGTAATACAATCGGTTTACTATCTGTAGAAATAATTGTATATATAAAAAAAAAAATTGTGAAAAAAAGAAAACATTACACTCTGCTAATTAAAATGTTTTTGTTATGGCGCAAATTTTTTTGGGGGGGACGGGGGGAAGGTTCCACGATGTTGGTAAACTATGTTAACCCCTTAAGGACCAAACTTCTGGAATAAAAGGGAATCATGACATGTCACACATGTCATGTGTCCTTAAGGGGTTAAAGGGTTCCACAGGAAAAATATATTGGGAACTCCTGTCATAGAGTATTTGCAAACTGAAAAAATTTAAAAAGAGTAGCATCAATTTAACATTTTATAAATGGAGAATGGATCAGCGTTGCGTGATATAGTAGGGAACTAAAAACAAGTGGAGAGCTGCAACCTATAAGTATGAGGTTCCCTCTAGAGTCCTCAAAGGAGAAATGGCAAAACATACACTTAAAAACATAAAAAGAGATATATAAATAATAGTCCAAGTACTTAGTGCACTTTTAGTAAATTCCAAATGGGTGAGTGAAGATCTCAGTACTTTGTGTCTTTCTTTTACTGTTTCCAGTAAATATATAGAGGTAGTGTATTCAATGAAAAACTGGATCTTCTAATGTAAACGTAGTCTTGACTCGATGATAACCATGAAAAATAGAGAAAACAGGGAAAATCCAATAGTTTATGCTCTAAAATAGGTGAGTGTATTACCTCCCTATTATTCTTCACATTCATAGTTACTAATAGACAATCTACACTATTGGATTTTCCCTGTTTTCTCTATTTTTCATGGTTATCATCGAGTCAAGACTACGTTTACATTAGAAGATCCAGTTTTTCATTGAATACACTACCTCTATATATTTACTGGAAACAGTAAAAGAAAGACACAAAGTACTGAGATCTTCACTCACCCATTTGGAATTTACTAAAAGTGCACTAAGTATTTGGACTATTATTTATATATTCCTTTTTATGTTTTTAAGTGTATGTTAACATATTATATTTATCTTTTTCCATTTGTTGTAGCGCGACCTATTATTTCTGTTTTTAACATTTTATGCCTTATTTTTAGTTATAATTATTTGATGCACATTGTTTAATGCTATAGGCACCAACATAGGCAACGTTAGCTTAATGAAGCAGTTTGGGTGCTCATGTGTGTATATATATGTCATGCACATGCAGCCTCTTCGCTGCCATTTAGGAGGTAAATCACTTTTATTTTTATTTATGCAGCCATAGCCTCACCTCTCTTGGCTGTTGTTCATATAGCCTGCATGACAAAATGGTTTCATTTTCAATCAGATGTTAACTTGCTTTATATATATCTATACAGTGTTTATCTCCTACAGGCCAACAACAGAGCAGGACATTAGAAATTCTAAATTAAACAGAATGTTTAATAAAGGATGTTTAAACATTAGATCTCTCTTTACAGGAAGTGTTTAGAAAGAATGTGCACATCACATTCAGGGAGGTATGGTTAGGACTGTGTAACCAAAGTGATTTAACTCCTAAATACCACAGAATTGAGCTGTGAGTCTGCAGGCTCATGATCTATACACCAAACTAAAGTTGTTTTGTTGTCTGTAGCATCCCCAAAGGTAGAATACTATTTTGTGATGGACAGTTTGTCCTGAAGTGAGAAGAATACTTTCTAACCAATTACTTCAGTGACTTGATTGTGCTCTCATCATAACATAAGATTGCCATGAATGTAGCGGAGAGCTGATATTCCACAGGTTATCTCCACTTAAGATCCCAGTGAGGCTCAGGAACAAGTATTATAAATCCATAAGGCAATAATTCCAGCAGGTAAAACAATCCAACAATATCCCAACATCAATCCCAATGACTGGACGACACACAGCATCAGGAGCAGAACTGAACGTTTAATCACACAAACTCCTTTTAAAGGTTTCTCCCATGCAAGGGAGGGATTCACATTAATTGGTACAGTAGCCAATAGTACAATAGTTACCTCCCATACATCTCCTCTCCTCAATGTGACACATAATCCACATATTCAAAATTCACCCAGATCGGACCAGGGGTTCGGGAGTTAGGTGGAAGAGACAATTTGACCGACCGCACATGAGGTGGTAGCCGAAAAGGGCTCCATGTGTTTTAGCCCTGTTCTCCCGTTCGGGAGATAAAATACATAGTAATACTTGACATCCACCATTACATCGGTATTCCCCTGAATACCCTTGTTCAGTATTTTGAATTCACCGAACGAGGGGCTGGTTGGCCCCTCCGTTCGGGAGTTACGGAGCTCTGGAGGTCTCAGCGATGTTCGAGTAATTGAGTGTCCGATTTGAGTTCCAGACACTCGACGACCAAACACCACTGAGTTTTTCGTGCGTAAGGTGAACTCTACATACAATTTTAGTTATACAGGAGAATAAACACACAAATTGCATTTTTTTTAACACAACACTTGAGGACAGCCCAAGGCCGTCTGCTACAATGGATAATATAAAGAATCGGCATGTATATGTAAATTCTATTTGTATATTTATGTAATCTTTTTACATATTTACATTATTTTATTAATTACAGTATGAGGGGCCTGTCTGACAACACAGGCAGAAAGAACATGACATTTTATTTGCAAGCTCTATGTTTAACCCTGTAACTTTCCAAAACACCATACAACCTGTCATGGGGTGTACTGTTGTACTCGAGAGACTTTGCTGAACACAAATATGAGTGTTTCAAAACAATATCATCAGTAAAAGTGCAGTTTGTGTGTGAAAAATGCATAACACAAATATGAACTCTAATTTTGGCAAGGGTCTGTTACTCAATGGCTACTTTAAAAAAGTGGACAATCCCAATTTTGAATACCCTGGGTTGTCTACTTTTGCAAATGGTATGTCATGATGGGGGTAATTCTTATTACAGTCTCAAAGGCAACATGACCAATCTGGCAAATTTCAATGTGTAGATGGGCAAGCCTTATATTTGACCCTGTAATTTTCCAAAACACTGTAACACCGGACATGGGGGTACTGTTATACTTGCGAGACATCACTAAACACAAATATTAGTGTTCTATAGCAGTAAAATGTATGTAAAAGTGGCTACTAAAAACAAATGACCATACCCAATTTTGAATACCCTGGATTGTCTACTTTTGCAAATTGTATGCCATGATTGGGTTAATTTTTATTCCTGGGCTGCCATACGATTTCAAAGGCAACATAGACCCAGCAAACCAATCTGTCAAATTTCAATGTGTAAAAACTGAAAAAGGGAAATATATATATTTGATAGTGTTTTGACACTGTAAGTTTAAAAAATCCCATAAAATATGTGTATGTAGGGTACTATTGTACTTGTGAGACATCACCGAACACAAATAAGTGTATTTTATTACAGTTAAAGCTAACAGTATTATGACATTCACAGTTAAGATGCCACGCAGAACTAAAAAATAACACTTTAAAAAA